ACCTAAAACCATTTTTATTTAGAATTAATTTTGAGTAAGTATTTAATGCCTGTTTTGCTGTTGCAGTTCTGGCGTATTTTGAATAAACGATGGTCCGTTCGGGTCACGGCAAAAGGTTATGTAATAATGAAATAAAAACACAGCTGGTCCACAGATTCGCTGAGATTTCTTAATATGGCACTTTTAGTGGCTGAGTCCGACGGCCCTGTTTAGACGGCTGCAGTAGTCCTGCTGCACTCGCTTCTTTAGACTAAGAGGATCAGAAAATCTGACCAAAATGTACGACACAGGCCCTGCACTGCCCTCTGGTGGAGAACAGAGTTCAGACATCTCTTGCTTCTTCAGTATAAGTATGTATACTGTTAGTCACACATTCTGATCAGCAAAAATCCTCATTTTTATTGATTTTTGTATTTACGGTGTAGAAGCTTCTATAGCTTGTTGGCTACTTTACTCTCTCGGCTCCGGAGTTCAAACTAAAGAGGTAACCACGTGACTGCAGACTGACTACATCTGGCCACACTGATTATTTTTCTGCAGAACCATCACTATAAAAACGGCCCCAGTACGTGTTCACTGATCTCCCAAACCTTCCTCCAACGTCCTCACAACATTAGGAGCTCAGAACGCTCCGAACACATGGAGAACACGGTCGTATGAGGTGTAACTCCACTTCAGCACCAGGAGGACTTTCCTGAAACGGCCAGTGTGGCTCTGGAACGCAATAAACAAGCAAGCAGAGCACGAAGAACAAACAGAGTGTAATTAAAGAGACGGACAGATTAAAGAGTGCAGCTCAGAAGATCGAGGAGAAACGACGGAGGGTCTGAGCTGCCCACACTGAGCCACTGTAAACACAGCAAACACACAGCGCACAGCCAACTGGAGCACACACTGTGTGTGTGTGTGTGTTTCCAGGAACTGAGCTGGAGAGTGAGTGTGTGTGTGTGTGTGTGTGTGAGAGAGTGTGTGTGTGTGTGTGTGTGTGTGAGAGTGTGTGTGTGTGTGTGAGAGTGTGTGTGTGTGTGTGTGTGTGTGTGACAGTTCAGAAACTTAGATGTTTAAAGCTGAAACTGCAACAATAACCAAAGTCAGATTCTCCCCAAAAGTCTAAACTCCACAGTCAGACGCGCTGAAACGTGGCTGAAAAAGAAGGAAAAAGGCAGAACAATTTTGGTCAGAAAAAGGTTCAAGACTGGACAGGTCTACAGTGACGTGTCCAATCAAACACCAGCTATCTGAATTATAAAGAGACAGAGAAACAGAGACTAAGGCTTTGTTCACTCAGCAGGTAAAAGTGTCCCAAATCCGATCTCTCTCTTCATGTGTGACACTGATGTGTGTCTGAGTGTCAGTGTGAACAGATGAACACACTGAATCTGACATTTCCAGTTCTGATTCGAGTTGCTTTCACATTAGGCACTGAAATCTGATATGTATCTGAGGCAATGCGACTCAGTCTGAACAGCCAGATTGGAATTCTACATGAATCCAACTCCACATTTATCATTTCACACTGTGAGACTCAGAAACATTCAGGCTGATGTTTCTGTACTAAATTATTAGAGACTCATCCAAAACCCTCCGTGTTTGAAGAGATTTCTAAAGAAATGTCCGAACGCGGCCGCAGGAGAACGCGGCCGCAGGAGAACGAGGCTGCAGGAGAACGAGGCCGCAGGAGAACGAGGCCGCAGGAGAACGAGGCCGCAGGAGAACGAGGCTGCAGCGTCAGAGAACAGTTAAAAGTCTGAAAGCAGAGTTTAATGAATCCGAGGACGTATGAGGTCGTATGAAGTGACCGCGCCCTTTTTACGGCTCCAACACATTCTGGGTGATGAGCCCAGCTGTCAGTCAGTGAAGCTTCATGGTGGCTCCTGTGATGCTGGTGAAGATGAAGCTGATCCTCCGGGAGCGACTGGCGTTCGCTGGCGATCGTGATTGTTTTCCTCTGGATGAGCCGTGAAGCAGCGTGACGCTCTGTTCTTTAGTGGGTCAGTTTAGGAGCTGATCTGTTCAGACTGATGATACAGATCACATTTAAAAGACAATCTGAACAGCCAAACAAAGAAATCAGATTTGGTGAGAGAATCAGATTTGGGCCACTAAAAACCTAAAAGCCTAAAACCGATGTTTGTTCTCTTCATTTTGCTCAACGTCTTCATTAAAACGTTTGATCAGATCCTGATCACACCGTGTGATTAGTTCACACAGCAGGTAAAGGTGGCCCAACTCTGATTTCCTGTTAGTCTATCTTTTAAAGGTGACCTATACGTGACAGATCACAGTCCTACACCGACCCGCACGCAAAACAACAATGCCTCACGCGGCTCATCCAGAGGTAAACAGTCAAACTGGAGTCAACAGTATCAGCTAAAGAGAAGTTCTGACGGCCGACAGCTGGACTCTGGACTCACCCAGGCCGCGCCGTAAAGCTGCGTTATTCAGCCACGGCCTCTTCTTTGGTCGGCAGTCTTGGTCACTTCCAACTTTGCTTTTCTTTGACGCTGCAGCTTCGCTCTCCTACAGCCGCGTTCGGCCACTTCTCTCCAAACGTGGAGCAGCTGTGATGAGTGTCTAACTCTGTTTGTGCAGAAACATCAGCCCAAATGTTTCTGAGGTCTGAGCAGCGCGAAATGATGACGAAGGTCGAGTCAGACTGACGTAGAAGTTGCTTGAATTCCGATCTGGCTGTTCAGAGTCTCATTGCTGCCTATTGGATATGTATCGGACTTCAGTACCACATAAGAAAGCGTCCCAAAGCGGAATTGAAAGTGTCGGATTCAGTCTTTATCTGCTCACACTGATAAAAAGACAACACATCTGTGTCACACATGAAGACAAAGATCAGATTCGGGCCACTTTTACCTGCCGAGTGAACAAAGCCTAAATGACAAACTCCAGCTGGAGATAATGGCACTGATTACATCACGACACACAACGGCCGCTAACCCAGAACCCTGAGAGCGAGTGGAAAAGGGAGACACGACAAAAGAGTCGCTCTTCAAATCAAACTCTGTCTTTTTCCCCAAAAATGAGCCTGAACGTCTGAAACATTAGCAGCATAATGACCCTCAGCAGTGATCTCAGAGAGAGGGAGAGGGAGAGAGAGAGAGAGAGAGAGACAGAGAGAGAGAGAGAGAGAGAGAGAGAGAGGGAGAGAGAGACAAAGGGAGAGAGAGAGAGAGAGGGAGAGAGAGAGAGAGAGAGAGAGAGAGAGAGAGAGAGAGAGAGAGAGAGACAGACAGAGAGAGAGAGACAGACAGAGAGAGAGAGAGAGAGACAAAGGGAGAGAGAGAGAGAGAGGAAGAGAGAGAGACAAAGGGAGAGAGAGAGAGAGAGAGAGGAGAGAGAGAGAGAGAGAGAGAGGGAGAGAGAGAGAGAGAGAGAGAGACAGAGAGGGAGAGAGAGAAAGAGCGAGAGGGAGAGAGAGAGAGAGAGAGAGAGACAAAGGGAGAGAGAGAGAGAGAGAGAGAGGGAGAAAGGGAGAGAGAGAGAGAGAGAGAGAGAGAGAGAGAGAGAGACAGACAGAGAGAGAGAGAGAGAGAGACAAAGGGAGAGAGAGAGAGAGGGAGAGAGAGAGACAAAGGGAGAGAGGGAGAGAGAGAGAGAGAGAGAGACAGAGAGGGAGAGAGAGAGAGAGAGAGACAGAGAGGGAGAGAGAGAGAGAGCGTGAGGGAGAGAGAGAGAGAGAGGGAGAGAAAGAGAGAGAAAGAGAGACTGAGAGAGAGAGAGAGAGAGAGAGAGAGAGAGAGAGAGACAGAGAGAGAGAGAGAGAGAGATGAGATTAGCATGTGAGAGAGTGAGCTAAGCAGAAAGGATTGTGAGCAGTGTAGAGATTACAGTGTAAGTGTTAGCAGGTGACGCTAATCTCCAGCCTCGACTACGTGCAGGCAGACGGAGTGAAGCTCGTCTGAAGCTGAGAGAGGTGCGTCCGACGGGCTTGTGCTCGATAACATCCTCTAAGGACGCGAGAAAAGAGCCGGGGTAACATTTAACGGGGAAATTACAGATGATGTGAACGAAAAGCTGGTAAACAGAACGTTTGATGTGAACGATGCTGTATGTGAAAAGCAAAACAACCAGTTTGTGTGTAAACGCAGTTAAACTGACTGAGAGCTGCTGCGATTCACCACCTGCATTCAGTTCATACCTTCTCAAACCGATACACACCCAAAGAAACACTGTGTGTTACTATGTATGTATAGAACTGGTGTTTCTGAACGACGTGCAGCAGCGCATTTCAGTCCCAGCTCTCCTCACTCTGCCGGCCCCAGAGGAGAGTCTCAGACAGAGGGGCGAGGGGCCGAGTGTCCACTTCAGCGGCAGAGCGTGTTCAGAAATCACGGTGATCTGACGCTTTTCCCTTTCCAAACCCAAAAACGAAGTAGGAAACTAAACGCTTAACGTTTCAAACCTGTAATATTCCAGTTGCCAGGCTTTACGTTACAAACTGCTTCATCTGTTAAACAGGAATGATGGTACACCTTCGGGACCAGCGCTGTCCCGATCTTCAGCAGTAATGAGTATTCTAGGCTCCGCCTGACTGCGTCTGACACCCCTGTGGAAAGAACCTCTGCACCTTCATCCTCTGTAAAATCCGAATCTCCAGACCTGCTGCTTTCCTCACCGCACAGATTCGCTCCATCTACCAGGCCCAACAGCCCCTCTCAGCAGCTCTGGGGTAATGGTATATATATTTCCACAGCAGTGCAATCAAAAAGGTTGTCAAAATGGCAAAATGTCACATCATGATACTTTGAGAAGATTTTTACGATACAGTGTGCCACGGTGTTTATTTTTTCTGAAATCTGATTAGTCAGATCAGACTAATTAAGCTCTCTGTAGTCAGACATGCTGTTGGTGTTTTACAACACTGGTGATGGATCCATAATACACTCAGTAAAGCACACAGTGATGGAGTTCATCACGACAGCGACGACTCCTGTCACATCGCCCAGCTCTACTCCCTCCTATCCCTCCTTTCTGACGGCCCCCTGTTCACGTTACTACTGACACTAAAGACTAAAGGAGGAAGGAAAACTCCCACATGACTGACGCCTGATAAAGAGGTGTGAGTGAGACGGAGGGATGGAGAGACAGAGGGATGGAGAGGGGAGAACGTGTCCCGGGACTCTGACACTGTAGAAGGTGCTGGAACAACAGAACATGTGCACAGATACAGAAATATGGGTCACCTGTTTAGGACACTGGTTCTTGCAGGAGGTGAGCAGCTTTTCAGCCTCTTCATCAGCCGACGTCAGCTTCCTGCAAACAAACAAACAAACAAACAAACAAACAATTAAAAACAAGCTGACGCCACAGACGACACAACGCCACTCTCTCACTCCTGAAACCTCGGGCGTTTGACTGATATCGACCCAACATTTCGTCTTTAGACTCCGCTAATCTGTAACGTGACGGACGATCTAAAAGCAATCAAACTACTGAACCACACGGGGGGGGTTACGGCTACGTCACTCCGCACAGGGTGAGAGGGGTTTCTGGGTCTAAGCTGGTTTTCACTGTAATAAAATAAATACAAGTCTGTCGCTCTTGTGTACATTTTCGCCTTTGTTTTGCCCCCGAGTGTCACTGGATCCTCTGAGGTAGGAGGTCGTTCAGCTAAAATACAGATAATGCTGCACGTCATAAAAATGAACCTTTTACTTGATTTGCACTATAATCATCTTATTTTCATTATTTAATTTTTCCCCCATTTCTTTATTTGTTTACTTAGTATCATTCCCATTCTTAGTCTTGGTTTAATTATGATTTTATTATTTCAGTCATTTTAATTAATTTTAGTTTCCTTTTTTGATCTTATCCTCCTTTTGTTTTATCTTGTTTTTATTAACTTTTACATTCTGGTCTCATTTAAACACTAATTATTGTCTAATATTTCTACTGTTCATGTATTTTTATGATTAATGTTTTTTTTTTTATTCCTACCTGAGTTGAGTCATTTTTATTATTAAATCTACTATATCATTTGATATGTTTTTATATATTATCAATCCTTCTGTCCTGTATCAACTCGGCAACATTGTAATGTGGATCAACCTCAGTGCTCTCTGAGGTTAAATAAAGGTTGATTGATTGATTGATTGATAACACCAGCTACTCAAACTGCATCTTAACGCCTCTAACGTACCACACTGGTCAGTATTCTGGGGAGGTCAGTCTTATGATGTCAGTTCAGTGTGCAGCAGTGTCAGCTCACATACAGCCGTGTTCATGTTCTGAGTCCTGGTTCATATCCGGCGTCCTAACTCAGAGGATCCAGTGACGCTTGGGGGACAAACCACAGCAGAACACCCTGATACTGTGACGCTGCGTTTACAGAAAACAGCACTGATTTCTCCTTCGCCCTGTTCAGACGGGACTGGTTTCACACGAGGAGGTTCTGTGATGTCATTTTTACCAGTGATTTTAGTCCCAGTCTGATGCACCATGTCAGTCATTTTTACGGCTTTACCTTCATAAAACGAGCGGCAGAAACAGCAGAAACAGCCCCAGGTGATTTTAATCCAGAGCGAACTGACATGTCAGTAAAAACGCTACTATATCCTGTGGAAGAGTTTCTGAAGCTTGGAGGCTGGAAGAAGCGCCTGCTTGTGCTCTCTGTGGATAAAAATCAAGCCGATATGTGAAGCCCCACCCAAAACTCTGAACTTTAAGAGATTACAAATTACAGAAAAGGTCTGATTTTATGCAGTCATGCTGACTGTTGGCTGTCAGTTCCTAAGCTCATTAACAGTCCCGACACTGTGCATTCAGTTAACACAGAATACAGGACGCTGAACTTCAGAGAGCTGCTTCAGTACAAATGTCGGTCGAATCTAAACACCTTTACTGTATTTATGATCATTTAAAAAGCAAAAGCCGATAAAAGCCGATAAATCAGTGAGTTTGGAGATGAGCAGTGTTTATATCTCACAGGCATTCGATGTACAGGTTGGTGATCTTGCAGTGGCAGCGCTGTCTGATCATCTGGGTGCAGGGGGGGCAGTCGCCACGGTGACAGGGGAGGGCACAGGGGTGAGGGCAACCGGGGGGGCGGGGCTTAGAGCAAGTCTCTTCACACTGCTCACACTCCTTACCAGCCTGTAAACACACACACACACATATATTAGAGCAGTGGACCCCCAAACTGTCTTCAGTAGACCCTTCAGATATTAACCCTCCTGCTGCGGACCCCCCCACTCCTTACATACACACACATATATTAGAGCAGTGGACCCCCAAACTGTCTTCAGTAGACCCTTCAGACATTAACCCTCCGGCTGCAGATCCCCCCACTCCTTATATACACACACATATATTAGAGCAGCGGACCCCCAAACTGTCTTCAGTTGACCCTTCAGACATTAACCCTCCGGCTGCTGCTGCTCTGTTTGTGTGAAGCTCTTTCTACACTGTACGGACTTTTGACCCTGTTTTGACAGCAAATTGATGGACCAATAGGAAAGCCTGAACTGGTCCAATCAGAAAGCGAGTTTGACTTATCCAATCACAACCCTGACTGGTTGCCGTCAGTCGAGGCTTTGCTAAGCTGCTGGTTCTGGCCTCTAACGGTGCTTCGACCGAGGGCGTATGGACACATCGGTATCTGATTAATGTGAATCGTCTGATTCACACATTCACAACGTTTCGTTTACACATGCCAAACTTTTATACACACTCAAAATCCTGTCAGTGCCCAGCATGCACTGCAGTGTAATGTGCACTCTGACTCTCGTACCCCAACAGCAATCTATGAGACAAT